ATGAAATGACCACCACTGCTGTCCTTAGCAGTGGTGAAAGTCTAAAAATGGCTAGTGCCCGCATAAAAAAAACTTTCATCGCACAGTAAGATCAGCTTTGAGCAGTTTGACTTTATTTCCAACAGTTGAAAGGAAAATTAAGTTATTTTCTGTTCTAAAGGCTGTTTCTTTCTCGGTCTATAAAATCTGGTTCTTTGATAATAAATTCTAATAACTTGCTGTTTCATTCTAACATGCAAACTACAAAACTTCTAGTACAGCTGAGAAAAAAATTCTGTTGTAGAAGGAAACAGTCCATCGAACTCTGTGAAAGCCTAGTTAGAGAACAAATTTGTGACCTTAATTTTTTTTTTCGAACGGCGGGCTCTATTTTGTCTTTTTTCGATATTGGCCACTCCTAAGGCTGGAAGTGGTGGTCATTTTGTTGTGAAAGAACCTAATAGGCTACCTCCTGCGAAGGGACGGAAAGTTACAAGCATGCCTTCTTTGGGATTCGAACCCGGGCCTTTCGGTATTGTAGTTGGCTCCCATAATTACTGTACTATATGGGCGGAGTGACCGTAAAATTAAAACAGTCTTTTAAAATAGTTTAAAAACAGAATGTAATATATTTAAAAAAAATTCTAGATTTTTATGAAGCGTGTATTGAATACCTGCAAAAATGAAGAACCCTTTAAGTGTTTCCAATGAAATAGTCAAAGAGAGTTTGGTGAAGTTATTCCTGGTTTGGAGTATCTTCACAGGTGTGATTATAGATGACAGAAAAGGTTTTGATCAGTTTTTCAGTATTCAAAAATATGTCACAACTTCTGGTGTTGACGAAAGTTTGATTTAATGAACAGTGGTGTATATTTTTGAAAGCAAAACCTTCACTGAAGTTCTAAAAAATTATCATATTTCCCCAGTACAGAGCAGTAATGCAGCAAACAAAAGTATGTTTTCTCTAATCAACACTCAGTGAACAAAGATATAAATCTCACAATAGCATCTTTAGTTAAAGGGATCATTAAGGTAAAATATAGTTTCAAACATATGATGTGTAAAGAATTTTACAAATAATTGTTGAAAGAAAATAATACTAATTTTGTGTCAGAACTGAGGAATGGGGACAAGTGTTACTTGGTCCAGATTAGTAACTAAACACCTTCATTCTTAACACAGGGCCCACCAGCGGCCGAGCGGTAAAGTCGCTGAACACTGGTAGTTCGGTCCGAGGTTCGAATCCCGCGAACGGGCTGGCTGCATGGGCGTTTTCGTGGTTTTCCCCATGTGTAACGTGTATACGAGCCAGTTTCCCTTAGAAAGTCCTCCACGAAGGCATCCCTCCTCTTAGGCAGATAGCCCTCGAGGCTTTGCCATAATCACACACACACACATTCTTAACACAATTATGACATTAACTGTTTTAAAAATTCTGAAATAAAAAGGCAGATTTTTATGAAAAGTCGGCCATTACTTGAAAGACTACCTTGTATCTGATAATTTAGACATGGTAACCTTATCTATACCCAAAACTGTTTTCTTAAACAATACAATTACCAAATTTAATTCAGAACTGCAGTGACATCCCATGAACTTTCAAACGTTCATTACTGAGAAAATATCGAATAAATTAATATACGTGCAGAAAATCTCTCAGCTGAATAAACAGATAGGATAATATTTTCATTATTGTTATACCAATGTTTGATTATTTTAATTAAGGAATATTTTTCAAAGTCTTCATGAGTGAAAATTTTTCCTCCGATTTTTGATAAAAGCAAATTATTTCTTCTTATCTATAAAAATGTTGCAGTAAACCTTTAGCTCATATTTTGAAGCTTTCAAAATGCTTATATTTTCCTGTTATATCAGCACTGAAATTAGATTTCTTTCTGAGACAGAAATAAGTCAACTGTTGAATTTACATGCAGAATTTTTTCCTCCATGCCATTAGCCGCATCTGTTACGAATTAAATATCAACTAACTATTTTTGTAATATTTTTCAATTCAGTAGTCATATCAATCTGTGAAGCACAAGATTTGTAAAAATTTTTTATTACGCTATTGAGAAATAATAGTTTAAAAAAAACTATTATTTTTCAGTAACGTAATAAAGCAGAAACAACCAGAAAATTTCCAGCAGAGATAATTTTTTGAATAGCTCAAACTATGCAATTATATAAAATATCATACTTTCAGACTATATACTTAATAATGTTAGCAAGTAAAAAATTAATTAACATCTTTTCAGAACTGAAATACGATATTTAATCACTAAGTAAATATTTACACTCGAGGATACCACAACTCGTTTGAATTTCCAAATGTTAATTTATCAATTTTATCATATTGTTAGCTGATGTGTAAGCTAGTGTGTATGCAGTGTGTTATACTTTTTGCGAGAACGTTACTGTGTTTATCTGATTACATTCTCTAACCCCTTACGCTAGTGCTAAAGTCTCACCCTTCGACTGCTTAGCTCATGCGCAAGGATTATGCAAGCGAAACTAATCGATTTTTCCATGACGTCAAAAATTCAAAAAGTGGGGTAGGGTTTAAAAATAAGCAGTCAGTATAACAGGGCAAACGGCAAGCTTCAAAGGTCCATTACTATTCCGAAAGGGCTGGCTGCATGGACGTTTTTGTGGTTTACCCCATGTGTAGCTAGTTTTCCTTAGAAAGCCCTCCACGAAGGCATCTCTACCTTAGGAAGACAGACCTCCAGGCTTTGCTGTAATCACATAACCAAACCATTAAGATTCGTTATGAGAGAAACAAATGCAAATGAAAAATAACCGTTGAATTTCAGACATGCCTTTCCACGTGTGTTACCTACATACTGTTTCCATATAAATACTTTTTGGCGACATGACACCTTGCCTTATCAATACGTTTTCCCCTTCCTTTAGGTGGCGTTGTGAATAATCATAAAGTACAAAATAAGAATGAACATGCAAAATTTAGGAGAAAATTGTAGTATGCATTGAAAGTTTCAGCCGCTAAGTGCTTATTTCCTCTGCTGTAATCCAAACGAAATCTTTGTACGTTGACTTGCTTTTAGGATTGTTGTAATTTTGTGGCTTCACATAAGGCTTCTAATATTTTAATGGTTGGAGAAGAAAATAACTAGAAAAGGTCTTCGAAGCCTCTTCCTCCCGCCCCGGAAAAATTATAGAAATATCATTGTTAAAAACACTTTAATATGTACAATATGTTAAAAAACATGATATAAAAATTATAGTATAAAATAAGCAATTTTAAAAATAAAACGTATGTTACCGCGTTTATGGTTTTTGATATTTCTCCCGCCTTCTTAGCATGCCTTCGTATTGTAATGGTCAGCACATTGGGTGCGTATTCTAGAGGTCCGTGGTTCGATTCCCGGCGAGGGCGTTGCTCATTTTTCACATCTCCTGCTTCCAAAATACATAATGTCTCTACAGTGGCGCTCGAACTAAAAGGTGGTAAATGATGACTCTTCACCACCAGGATTTGGCGATTGGGTCCCTTAAAATCCCAGTAGCCCTTTAAAAGGAGGAGTATATAAGGTATTTCTCCCGCTTTCTTAGCATGCCTTCGTAGCGTGGTGGTCAGCACTCTCGGCGCGTACTCGAGAGGCCCGTGGTTCGAGTCCCGGAGAAGGCGTTGCTCATTTTTCATGACTCCCGCTTTTTAAAAATAACTTATGTCTTTACAGATGTACTTGCATTGCTTTATTACAAAATATCCAGCCTTATTGAGCCTACTAATCAGTATGTATATATTTTATGAAAATTTAAAAAATGCAAAGAAATTCAGTTTTATACGTAACGCTCGTTAACAAAGTTGTGCGGGTAAATTTTAACGCCTGAGGCAAATACCAGAATGAGGTATTTTGTATATTCTTTTAATTGCTTTTACATTAATTCGTAATTGATCGTATTTTAATTTTATGAGCCCCTCCGTTTTTAATCTCCAGATAAATGCCTCATTCACACCACCCTCGGCGCAGCTCTGTCAGCTGGCAAAAACTTATTTTAGTACATTTTAAAATTAAATATATGCAATAGTCGTTATTAGTCATTGTGCATTATTGTATTCACTTGATAACCTGTGTTCAATACATCACCTCTTAAATCGATTTCCATAAATTTATATAGTATTCGCTAGATAAATTTATGAAACGTAAAATGATCAGCTATAATAAGTAAAACTTTTTAAAAATTCTGAGCCATAATTAATTAAAAATATTTTTTATCTCTAAATGAACAAAAGGCCAGGAAAATAGATTACTCCTTAGTTTGCATACTATTGATTATCTTGAATCCGTATAATATTCCTCTTTGGAATGACGGGTATAATGTCTCATGTTTCGGCAAAACAGAATATGTGGAATAGATCTACAGTTTGTAATTATTTCTTGTTTCTTTTGAATATTATCCCCAAAAATATGGTGCACAAATTATCGATAATACAGAGTTGTGATACTGACACCTGATTAGCAAGCGTGTTGTCATAAACGTCTTCAAAAGTTGCTTGCGTATGTTCTGTAATGATCTCTTGTGTGAACCCTTTTGTAACCCTTTTCTCTCCATAATTTAAATTTGGAATTACTGTCTTTATATAATTTACTTTGAACACTCTCATGTACACAAGAGCGCTTTCATGAAGATGAACTAAAACATAGTACTAAAAGGTTAAATTAATTTCACTTATGAGTCATGAGAAAATTAAATTTTTTTTTACGATTTATTGCCAGTAGTTAATAGCATGGTCATAAGGCAGCTGTGAGAAAAGATGAAAGGCTGTTAGCCCTTTCTCTCGTAGGACTGACGCAATTCCAGCTCCTACCATTCCAGCGAAAACTCGAATGGAGAGTAGTTTCAAAAGAGGTAAAGTGATGTTCTTTTTAATGCTTTTGAATATTAGGTAAAAACGTACTTAATAGTTTTAATGCCTAAAATCTTAGCATTGACAGCACATCACTAGTTTTAAGTGTTTTAAGTCACTATTAATTATAAGATGTAAAATTACTTACAGCTTCCATTGAATTAACATTCCAGACTTTAACTGTACCGTCAAAGCTGGCTGTTGCTAGCAGATCACAATTATCAGGCTTGAATTGGCAGTCGAATATTGTTTCTAGATGTCCCTAGGAAATACAGTTTTATAAAAGATTTAGCGAAATATGTAGTACAAAGAAAATACTTTAGTAATATATAGTGACAACAGCAAGCAAATGCTTCTACTAACAATGATTTATTAAGTATTCAACCTCAGGACATAGATACCAGAATGGTAGTCAATATCGTATTTGCCAGAAAAATTTCCGAAACATATGCGTATTACAAAAGTGGTTTACTCAATAGCATTCTGCAATTTTATTATCCCTATATATAGTGCAATTCTAAAGCATTAAGCATTAGTATACATTTTCAAGTTTATTGGTATGGTAAACTAGCTATTTAAAGAAATAGAAACAGTTTTGGACATTTGAAATGTTATCAGGCACATTTAACAATGGCATTAACAATGACATCCAAATTCGTAGTTGGAGGTCTAAATTGTTAGCTTTAACTGAATTATTTTTTAAAGTTATTGATTATATCACCAAGGGAAGTCAACCGTTTTCTTCTCTCGAAGTCAAACCTCATATATCAGTTTCTAATCAATGTTATTTCAAAAAGATAATCAAGATTTTTTAAAAACTTTGTTTTATTTGTTTTATTCAATTTAATACAATCCAGATATTCATTCATACTTTTATCCATGCCAAATTCATTCATTCCCTTCATTTCATTTACACCAGACATTTATTTATGCCAGAGATATTCATTATCAGAACCGGACTTAGTTCTTCCCCAACATTGAAGGGGGACATGTTTTCTAATTTTCTTCTTTGTTAAATAATGCACAGTCGAATCCTGTTATAACAAGCCCAGCTTATAACGGACCTATTGGTGCCGTTTAATTTCCTTTCCATTTAATGCTGCTTTTTCTGCTATAGCGAACCTCTAACGATATTAAAATTGAACATAACGAACTGTACGAATATTTTCATTTGTGACTTCTTTATTTTTAAGTATTTCAGTTTACGATATTTCACACTGATATATTTGTTTATTATTTATCTATATTTCATTCAAGTTTGCTGAAAATAAAGTCACCATGTTTTCGAAGCCATTGTGGGCCAAGATAATTTCGACTATATGAAGGACAGAGAATTTTGTTTGAAGTATAATCTTATTATTTCAAAGAATCGACAGCCTTAGCTTTTTACTTATAGTTGCTTACATGTTACAGTCAAATTTAATGGAACCTTATATTATCTAAGATGTTAAATTCTGGCTTCGTATACACAGCCAGGCAGATTATTGCGCCATCCTAAAGCTTCAGTTAAATAATATAAAGTCAGGAGAAGACTTCAACTTTTTTGTTAGATCTTCGATCTAAAAATTTACACAATTTCAGTCATAAAGGAAGACCTCCTTTGCTTCGGGATTAGTAGAAGACAAGCGTGTTTCTAAAATATGAAAATTTACAAGACAAATTGCGTCGATAAGTTTTAGCTCAAGTCCTTGAATCAAGCGAGAAAAGACGCCTAGCAAAGGCTAAAGCCAGTACTAGTCAATCTAGAAGCTGGACAAAAATTACAGATGAACGCTCAGCGGTCGTTCTCAAAAGCTCTATTCTAAACTCAAGAGCTCTGTTCTTATACACATTGCTAATTTTTCATCCTGGTGGGAGTTGGCGGAAGTATAAGTGACAGTAAAGTAATAAGATGATGAGTTAATAAATATAAACCCCCAAAAAATCACCCCATATAGATTCCACGGTAACTGTAAAGGTAACTTTAGAAAACGTTACTGTAGTTGATGTTCAATACTTATTTGTATTTTCAGAAATACTATTCGCTTTGACAGGCGGTCGCCATGAGAAGTTTCATTGTATTTATTATTGAAATATACGCTGTGATGCTGCAGCTCTTCCTACTAGCCTGAGGTCAGTTATTAATGTTGCAGACTTAAAAGACACATTGCTGTTTTGATTATGGAAAAAACTACCCTCCATTTCGGTCAACTTACTTTTTTATCTTTTCGGGCACTTCATAGTTTTCTATAATATTTCATATCTATCTGTAAGTCGTATCTTTCAATAATTTTAATTATTTTCCTATAATATAATATCTAATATTAGTCTATCTATAATTTGTTGCCTTATATTATTCTTTGTCAAAATTCTTTCTTTTGGCATTTTATTTTTTTTCTATATGGATTATTCGATGTCTCTATATGGACATTCTCTATATGGAATATGGATTATTCTATGTCTCTATAGAATTCTGTATATGAAATATTATGGATTATTCTATGTGTCTTAAAATTCTCTATACTGATTATTTGATTATTGAATATATTTCTGATTCTACAAAAACATCTTCATGACCGAATGGATTGACACTAAAAAAATTCATGTCATATGTATTTACAAGTTCCGGGGCATTTTCCAGAATATATCCTGAAGCAGGAAACTGCATTGAAATGGATGGTCATTGGGTCATTTGTCATTTTAGCCGAATAGTTCTATGACATCTTTTTTTTGTAAATTAATAATTGTGGAAGCAGTTAAGAGCAGGTGTTTCATTAGACATTATAACTATACTACCGTATTAAAGTTGGTTGCCATATCATACGGAAACGTCTTGTGCGTTTAAGTGCTTTTGCCGAGAATTATAGTTCAACGTGAAATTCAATTTATGTTACTTAATGGGAAATTCATTCTGAAATTAAATGGCTTACTGTGTTTAAATACTTACTGAGTGGATTTAAATGGTTCATACTCATTAAAAAAGCAGCCTTAGTATTTTTAATAATGACTAGAAATTTATTTTGAGTTTCCTTGGCCTTCTTGGATTTGCATTCCTATTCGCGATAGCGTTCAAAATTTAGAAGGAAACTTTATACAAAATAGCTTGGCCTCAGAGCTTTCTCATTTAACAGAAGGGAAATCAGAATACTAACTAGAAAGATCTTGATTATTCTTACTTAGGAACTCGTTGTTGTGTTTGCCTCATTGCACTTTATTTACAAAAGCAGTTGTCTCCAGATAAGATATATTTAAACGATTATAATTCTAATTCATTACTAACAAGTAACCTCTTGTACTTTGTACAGTTTTATTTTAAGAGCAAAGTGTTAGAGCAAAGTTTAGGAGTTTAAGCAATTTTAAAAGCCTCATTCTCTCTAAAATTAATATGATAAGAACGATACTTCTTTTCAAGAGCTTTACATTTTAAAGTTTCATGTTGCTACTTTCTAATACTTTTGCAAGTAGCAATTTATGTAGCTGAAGTTTAGACTAAAATGGAAAGCTTTATTAAATATGTTTCGCTTCGATTTTAAAATTCAATTTTATTTAAATTTTTCACTTAGGATTAAGTCTAATTTTGGAATTAAAATAATTTCAGATAAAGAAAAATTTGCAAACATTTTCTGATTTTCATTCAAAGTTTGTAGAGACATTAGATTTTTTTGAAACAGAAGTCATGAAAAATGAGCAATGCCCTCGCCGGGACTCGAATCACGGACCTCTCGAATAAGCGTCAAACGTGCTGACCACTACACCACGAAGGCATGCTAAGAACGCGGGAGAAAATACCTTATAAGATTTCTGTGCAATAAGAATTTTCATCTAGTTGTTAGTATATTGTCTGATTTGGCAAATCTTACGGATATTATTTCGATTTATTTTTAATATGCGTAATACTCTCCTCTTTAAATTTAGTAAAAGGAGTTAAAGAGAAACGCTTGCCAGATGAAAAGTAAACGAATATGTGTAAAACATGCACTTTAAAATTTTACTCTTCATTTTTATTTTGTAGTTTTATACTATATTAAGTTGTTATGAGAAAATGAAATAGATACAGACAGTTAATTAAAGTGTTATTTTTGGAAGCGATAAAAGCGAACTGATCTATTGTGCTACAAAAACTCGTATCTGAAATAGTATTTTGGAAATGTTTTATTCATTATTTTAACTAACCAATGAGCTTACCATATTTCGTAGAAAGTCCCATGAAGAGTTTCTGAGATTGTAGACACCAACGCCACCATCAAAAAACAAGCAAATTACCCTTGAAGAAAATTTCACTTTGCCTTTAACTTCTTTTGTTGTTGTGACGCTTTCCGAAGGAAGAACGCAAACTGCTTTGAAGCCAACTTGCTTCAAGCGTAAACTTTCCTCTGGCTTTTCTTTAGATACAATCCAAATTCTAAGTACTCCAGCCTCCGAATCTTAAATAGTAACAAAAATATTAAATTAGAAAACAAAACACTGAAGGTAATTGAACACACTAATATCAATAAACATCTAACCAGAAAGAAAAAACTTTCAGTTTGCAAAATTATGGTCATGTTTTTTCACATGAGAATCAATAACTTTATATTAATTATACATAGGATCATAATTGTTAAGGATAAAGTTAGTTTTTCCTTTATTAATGATAGTTAGAGCAAATGTTTAAAGAAACTTCTGCGTAGAATTATCTCGCATTAACGCTATACTCAGGTATCTCGAGAAGAATCATGAAAAAACTTGTATAATGAATATCATCATATGGAAAAGTTACTTCAATCTGCTTAAATTGATAATTCCCATATTTTGAAATAGTTTACTTAATATTCAGAATGGTAGTTAAAAAAAGACTTCATATGTGATTTTGTGGTAAAGGCCATTACATTCGACAAGAACACTATAATATCGCTGTGGTGTGTCGTCGTCAAAGAAAGTGGATCATCTAACCCAGTCGTCGGCAAACTTAGCCAATTAACAACAATTTTACGATTGAAATCTCTTTTGAGAGCCATGTGTTTTAAACTTAAATTATATAGGTAGGCATATTATTATTCACTTAAATAGGGTGCACTTACGCTGGCTTTTACTAAGAATGTCCTCAATCTGATCAACGTACGCTCTCTGAGGTCTACCCTGTTCCAACTCTCTCATCCACACTTGTTTTGTATACTCGTTTAATACTTCTTTCGTACATACTCTCTATATGTCCAAACCATCTTAAAATACCTTTCTCAATTCTCAACACTAAATCTTTTTTCACTCCACAACGCTCTCTAAAATTAATAATTAAATTTTTAAATCTTAGTTAAACTATATAGGTATGTAGAATAAAACTTGATATTACACTTAACAGTGATAATATTTATTGATAAAATAAAATTCTAAGGTATCCAAAAACTTAAATCATGATAATGACGAACAAACAGTAATGCGAAGAATGGCCTTGCATCTCCTTGGCAAGATTATGTAACTGAGATTTGCATGTTATTTTTAATTTTAAGCATGATTCCAAGTTCTCATCAATAAGACGACTTATCAATTTACTCTTGATAAGTTCATGCTTGAAAATGATTGTTAGTGTGAATATGTAGACCCGAATAAGGAAAGAACAACAAACGATAGTTTTTTTCAGCTTATTATATGAGTCAGGATTACTGTTTCGTGTGTTTAAAAATCAACATATCTTTCTTCTCCAGGTCTTTCAAAGCAGACCATTTTGCTGTGAACTAAGCTCACATTTGTTTTTCTCCAACGTTTCTACGCATATCAGCGCCAAGACGTTCAAGTTTCGAGCTCCATAATTCTTTGTTTTTTTAAATCCAGCAATTGGATTTCAAAGTTGCCAGTGTCAATATTAAAGGAAGAAGAATTAGTTCCATTACAATAGTATGAAAAGGTTTTTTTTTTAACAAAGGTTAACGTCACTTTATTGTTTCTGTATTCCTGAAACCTGCTGAGAAAAACTTCTTTCATATTTAAAACTGTGGTTTTGATATAGCAAATGTCAATATTGAATTATTTCCTTAGCAATCTTTCCACAGGGTTGGAAAGTTAATCAAACTTATTCTTTCGAAATCTTGAGTAAAAAGAGATAACCTGTTTTCAAATGAAAATTAACTTCTTCTAACATCGAAATAATTGTGTTTTCTTTCCATTGTAGTTTTTGATTAAGCTGATTTAGATGAGATGTAGCGTCTACCTTGAAATAAAATTTTTGGATCCACTGATCGTTCGTTAGTTCTGGATAATAAACCCCCTTTTGAAGGAGAAATGATTTAATTTCTGTTAATAAGAACACGAAACATTTCAAAACATTTCCTCTTGTTAACCAACATACTTTGTTATTGAGCAGATCTGCGCACACACTCTCCATTTCAGCTAAAAATTCTTTAAACTGGCGATGATTAAAAGCCTTAGCTATAATGGAGTTGATAATCTTAATCCCAATTCCATAACTTTTCAAATGTCTTCTGGCATTTTCTGGGCAAAAGCGCTTCTTCATGAATGATCCAATGGTAAGTAAGCATCTCGTGACTAACAAATGGGCCATTGTATTGAAATAAGTGCTTTATATATTATCATCAGTAAAAATCTTACTAGGATCAGTACAATGGCAATTTTAACTTGATACATCAAATAACGTAAAAAGAAATTTTGTGTCAAAATATCTGGGTTTTTAGTTTTTTTAGACATTTCCAATTTAGATTTTTTTCAATATTATATGCAATGTATTTTATGTTGCCTAAATTCAGATGCTAGGAAAAGTTTTATTTCAGACACTGTGAAAAACTTTGAAAGTTCTAAGATGCTAAAAATCCTGATACTTTGAAACTAAACTTCCTTTATATATTATTTGATTTCTCATTCAATTTAAAATTGCCATTGAATGGTATATTAATTCAAAGCACTTCATTAGTTAAAATTCGGCATATGACAATTACTACGACAGCCCAATTTGGTGTATAATCACTACAATCAAAACGCAGAAATCGGTCCAAAAATATTTTCTAGGCATAGTATTGGCGGATATGTTTTCATGCTTGTGTTTCATGCTTGTGTTTTCATGCATCTGACGGCCTTAGTATTGCAATTTCAAAATTTTCTTGTTTTACGTGCGCGCACCCGCATGTGGAAGAGCCACACTCAAGGAGCCAAAGAGCCACATTTGGCTTGCGAGCCACGGTTTACCGACCAATGATCTAGCCTGATAAGAAATCAAAGATGAAGAACTATAGTAAATATGCTTATATAATTCTCCAAGCTGTTTAACTCCTGAACTGAATTGGAGTTTGGCGTATGAATGTAGTCTCTGCTGACATTTACTCAGACGAATCAATTCCTTAACCACAAACTTTTGCCGCACATCTGCAGCAATGTGTGAGTAAAATCCTGCCGTTTTCTATATCTCGTGGAAATCGTAAGACTTTCATGCACTTTTATTCGAGCAGAGTAGTCCATTATCTCAACCTTACACTGGATTACATGAGGTCTAACTGATAAAATAGTAACGATTGGCCCAGGTAGTCATAGGGCTTTCTTTAAATGTCGGCATTTTATTTCTTGCCTCATTTACTTCAAACCATGATATATAGTTTTAAATCAAATTCTATAACTGTTCTATCCATTAAGACATACTTGAAATCTGCATCATTTGAAACTAGCAAACACAATTAAAGCAGCAAATTCAAAGTCCGATAGATATTTTTAGATCCATTAAAGTCAAAGTGCTGGATTATAACTCTGATGACTATATTACTTAATTAACCATTGTATTCCATTAATAACATATACTTTTCATAGCTGTTTTAAGATTGCATTAATGAAAAATTGTGGAGAGATATTATTAATTTTTAAAATTCATTGTTTAAATTCTGTAAGGCTTTTGTAGAAATAAATTTAAAGCATTGCCATATTCTTTAGTTCGCATATAATACTCGTATAAGCATAGTTTTTCTTCTTTTGCATTAATTTATTTTACAGATTGCAGGTATCCTTTGTAGGATTTTTCCGAATCAAGAGAAGTTAAAATGGGCAATGCCTTCGCCGGAGCTCAAACCTGGACCTCTCGATACGTCCCGAGTGTGCCACCGTTACACCACGAAGGCATGTAGAAAGGAGGGAGAAAATACCTCGTACCTTCTCTATTTCATTGGTGGTGATATTAATATAGCATACTACTTATTATGCTATACCAATAGCTACTAATATAGCATTCATGACGCGGATAGATTTTAATTTCACTAATCGTCGACAGATGGCACAACTTTCCTACTTTTACTGTGAATTTTCCTAACTAATTATTGAGATCCTTAGCGAGGTATGTGATACTATGTGCTGTTCATCTGCTATTAAAGCAATGTTATTGTTAGACATCTTCACGTATCTACTTTATTTCCTTTGGCTGCTATAAATCATTACATCTCAATAAACGTAAGCTCATGATTTAAAGCAGGAGCCGTCAGAGACTGCAGGTCGTTACTTTTGAGCCTAATGCTTTATGTCTGGGATTTAGACACGTATGATTGACATATCCCTTCCTGTGGTAAACCGTGGTACATTGAAATTAGGTTCGAAGTTATCGAAAGATATTTCCATTGAATTAAGATTTTTATTTAGAGGCTACTTTCTAACTACCTTTACATTTTTCAGCTGGAAAAATAATTTCACACACACACCCCACACACCAAACCCAACCAAAAAAAAAAAAAAAATCCGATTTATTACGATTAACTATGAAACTAGCTTACCAGTCATTTTGACGGGTATCCGTAAGACATGTACACATCATACAGAACTCTTAAGAATTAAAGAAAAGAAATTAAAATTTAAAGAAATTAAAGGGCTGAAGGAAAAATAAATTTGGGTATGTATTCGTCTCATTACATCGATAATTGTCAGCACAAATTGGAATACTACAAAAATAATGGTCTTTGTAATTTTGCTCATGAAGTTTCAAATTCGTCAAAATTATGGGCCCCGTAAATCTAGTGTTAAAACTAAGAATGCAGTTGAATTTCACATTTTATTAGCATTATAAGTTTCACTTGCTGTTGCTTCTTTAGATAAAGAAATAATTTTTTAAACCTCTTCCATTTTATTTCAACAAATAATGATTTGTATGCTTTCCTAAGTTATAGTTTATTCTTTTTTCTTATGTATCAGATTACTGTCTTTGTTAATCAATTTGTAGATTTTATTTTTTACCGGAAGGAAAAACGTAAAAAAATCCATTGTGCTTTCTTGGAAATCGAACAACAGATTTTTTACTTGCTAGTTTGATGTGCTATATATGAAATATACTTGTTCAACCATGCTCTAATCCTCTGTATATGAAACTTTCTAAATCTTGTGTAACAAAAGGTCTTCCGACTGCAAGCAGTCGTGGGCTTTGAACTCTGTATTTATCCTAATTCTATGTGAAGGTTACTTTATAAGCTAT